TGAGCACCACAGATTTTACTCCAACGATTTCAGAAAATGAAAAGTCAGTTGAACAATAAAAATGTAGCAAAACGTGAACACTCCCAAGGGGTCAATTTTGCTCTTTTCGGTCCGACATTCGTGTACACAGGTTGCGCCACACAAGTACAAGGTCCTAAACTTATTTCTGTCCATGATTTGCACCCCCCCAGCGCGCACACGTGGAGAGAGTCTCTATACTACACATGATTACACCATTCTAAAGTGTAATCATTTATAAAGTGGTTTTAGTTTTCATCAACTTCTTATGTGGGACAAACATATTTTTTAATTTCCCACCAATATAAACTCCTTTTANTTTGAGTTTCAATTTCTCATTCCCCCAAACATTATGCTTGGCAAGTAAATATATGATTTTGATGTACTCACGGAGAAGAACACAAATCAATCTTGATTTTTCAAAATAGCCAAACGGGTCTCACTAAAAACTCATGCTAAATTCAGCCAATATATCTTTTTTTTTTTCCAACAAAACCCACGTATGTTAGTCAATAAGGACAGTAATATCAAGTTAGAACTGTTATTTTTCCTTTGTCCAACTTTATTCAATATATAAATTAAACATGTTGCGGAGATTAGCATTAAACGAACTTCTTTACAATTTTTTATAAATTAAATAAAGCACTTCCACTTTTAAACTTGCTCACAAACTTACTAAAGTTAGGAAACAACTTATACTAAAGCTGATAGGAGAGTTTACACTACATATAAACATTCCGATTGAAGTCAGCAACAATTTCAAATTTTACAACACTAAAAGAAACACTTTTAAAATATGCATGCAAACATGGGTGGATGTAACCTAGATAATGGATAGTAGTGTAATCCATAAAGGTTAATTTCATCACACAGATTCAGTAGATAACTATCTGGAATTCAAAAATAAAGTTACATCCATAATCAAGAAATGTAATGGAATTGTTGGGAGATATACCTCATATAAAATGTGTGTTATCCCATCACTTATCAATCTACTTTCATCTCTCAAAGCAACGCTAATCGCAGGATGTAACCACAAGGCATCCACAGAAGGTTGACCTCCAGAAAGATGGCAACACCATATAGGTCCAACTGGCTGTTTCCACTACGGGGCAGCTAACTTAGCAACAATTACCTCATCATCATAAGCTACGAAATCTATTTTTCATGTTAAGACTCAAGCAAACAAATTATGATCAAATATAGTTGTTATGATCAAATTATTTGCATAAATAATAAACCCTAAATCTGAATAAAAAATTTCTTTCATAAGAAGAATCGCTATATCAGAAATCATTCATCAAGAGGTTTGAAAATTCTAGGAACATAGACGTGATAGCTTTGGATTCCCCTTTCCTTCCTCTTTTGTAACTTCTCATACGAAATTATTTAGTACATTTACTTAAGAGATTTTATTTTTCACTTTTAATTGTTTTTTTAATCTTGTGTTTTTTTATTTGTACATATATTCATTTCCATTTGTTCTTTTGGTGCGTTCAGTTGCTTTTCTAATGTGGATTTTGGTAAAAAAAAATTTCCTCTTATGCCACTTACTGGAGTGTTGCTCTTGGCCATCCCTTTTCCTTTCAAGTATAATTTGTATTGCATCTTTTGGCAAATTGATTTTGCCCTCTGATCCCCATTAGCATCTATGACTCTGGTCCATATTACTATATAGGGAAACAGGGTTACAAATTCTATGGTGATAGTTATCTTATTGAACTATTTTATCTTGCCACTCCATGTCTGCGTTTTGTACCTTAATTGACACTTCATTCGTGCATTTTGCAATAGCTATAGGAAAATTCCCACATTTCTTTGCCACTACCGATTTTGTGAATATTTCTTTTTCCCCTTTTGATAGAAAATCAATCCCATTGGTTAAGGGTGCAAGTGCAGCTTCATTTTGGTCAGCTAGGTAGTTTTTTGGTTTAGAATTCTAACTTGGTTGTTGTATTCAAAATTGGAAGTCAACTGTGACCTACTCTGAATTGCAGTTGTTTAAAGTTTTCTATTATAATGACCTACTTTCTATTTTTGATATTTCTTAAATGTCAAACATTTTTCATAGTATCCATAACTAGTTATTTTCCTGTGACATGGGTCGACATTTATTTGAAAAGGTTTTCTTTCTAAGATGTTGATCCTGGTTTTGGGATAAACCTGAATGGCTTTCTGATGGGCAATTCTCTCCATTCTATGAGAACTTTCATAAAATAGCTCTGAAACTTCATTCTACATAATATTGAGGAGTAGCATACCACAGTTGTCCTTTAACTATTAATGCCCTCATTAGTTAATTTAATATGCTTTTTGATACACTGTGATGCACATGTTATCGTAATTTCTAACTCTCCAATTTTGTTTAACGGGAGTTTAATTTTGTTTTTGAACCGTAATTTCTACTCTCCAATTTCTCTAAAAGATTGGCAAGACTGGGTTTTTAATCATAACTCATGCTAAATGATAGATTATAATTGGTATTCAGTACATTAACTTAATGGTGAACTTGTAATTCCACTCCATTGTATGTCGTTATTCAACATAAAAATCTATTGAAACTATTGTTTGATATGCCTAATAAATTCCAAATTTCCACATTCTTAACTACATGTACAGCTTATTTTGTTTGGTGAGGAGACTCAGGAAGAGAAGAAGGCNCAAATGTTGCCGTATGCTGTCTTTCGCAACATTTACCAAACGTTGCCGAAAACTTCGGTAACGTTCAAAAATGTTGCCGTAACTCTCTACTCTACGACAATACCTTGATTTGCAACACACGTCAAAATGTTGTCGTATACTGTTTTTGTTGTAGTGGGTGCCATGTCACTAATTTCATTAAAGTTTGAACGGATGTTATGCTAGTGAGTAATGTCCAACGTTTGGATAAGTGTTATGACCAAGACTCGACATCTTAAATTTCAGTGAGTAATCGACGACACGGGCATAAGTTCAGTGACCACTAGGATAATTAACTCATATTATTCTTAAAATAATCACTATTCCAAAATACATTTCTTTCCAAAAATGGGGCTTAATCAGGGGCTTTGTTATTAAGTCCATTTTTTATATTTGGTAGAGATTTTTTAAATTTTATTTTTAATTGTATATTCCTTCAATAAAATAATTTACACTTGGATTAATAATTTTTCCTTACTTTTCAATCATAAATTCATCAAAAGATTACTTTTAAAAAATCTACATCAAACATATTTTAAATTATGTTAATTTTATCTTAGATTCAAGTCCTTAACAATTGGAGTCAAGGTAATTCAAAGAAGTAAAAATATTTTTTAGTTTTCCACCAACATAAACTCCTTTTAAGTGGCACACTTTGAGCTTCAATTTCTCATTCACCCGAGCATCAATTTTGGCAAGTAAATATATGATTTCGATGTACTCACGGAGGAGAACACAAATCATTCTTGATTTTTCAAAATAGCCAAACGAGGGTCCCACTCAAAACTCATGTCAAAGTCAGCCAATATCTCATTTTTTTCCAACAAAACCCACGTATGTTAGTCAATAAGGACAGTAATATCAAGTTAGAAATGTTATTTTTCTTTTGTCCAACTTTATTCAATATATAAATTAAACATGTTGCAGAGATTAGCATTAAACGAACTTCTTTACAATTTTTTATAAATTAAATAAAGTACTTCCACTTTTAAAATTGCTCACAAACTTACTAAAGTTAGGAAACAACTTATACTAAAGCTGATAGGAGAGTTTACACTACATATCAACATTCCGATTGAAGTCAGCAACAATTTCAAATTTTACAACAATAAAAGAAACACTTTTAAAATATGCATGCAAACATGGGTGGATGTAACCTAGATAATGGATAGTAGTGTAATCCATAAAGGTTAATTTCATCACACATATTCAGTAGAGAACTATCTGGAATTCAAAAATAAAGTTACATCCATAATCAATAAATGTAATGGAATTGTTAGGAGATATACCTCATATAAAATGTGTGCCATCCCATCACTTATCAATCTACTTTCATCTCTCAAAGCAACACTAATCGCAGGATGTAACCACAAGGCATCCACAGAAGGTTGACTCCAGAAAGATGGCAACACCATATAGGTCCAACTGGCTGTTTCCACTAAGGGGCAACTAACTTAGCAACAATTACCTCATCATCATAAGCTACGAAATCTATTTTTCATGTTAAGACTCAAGCAAACAAATTATGATCAAATATAGTTGTTATGATCAAATTATTTGCATAAATAATAAGGATTATTCTATGTGTACATTAAGGGATCCATAATGTACACATGGCCGACCCTCATTGGAGGGTGGGCTGACGCGAATGAGGGTCGGCCATGTGTACATTATGGATCCCTTTATGGATCCCTTAATGTACACATGGCACCACTCAAATAATAAACTCTAAATCTGCATAAAAAAATTACTTTCATAAGAAGAATCGCTATATCATAAATCATTCATCAAGACCAAACTTTTAAGATGGAACATAGACGTGATAGCTTTGGATTCCCCTTTCCTTCCTCTTTTGTAACTTCTCATACGAAATTATTTAGTACATTTACTTAGAGATTTTATTTTTCACTTTTAATTGTTTTTTTAATCTTGTGTTTTTTTATTTGTACATATATTCATTTCCATTTGTTCTTTTGGTGCGTTCAGTTGCTTTTCTAATGTGGATTTTGGTAAAATTGTTCACAATTGTTGTCTAGTGTTCACAGTGGAACAAGCTTTGTGAAGTGACAAACTATATTAGCCCAATAGTTGTCTATGTATTGCTGTTCTTGCCCTTATTAGATGCCTCAAATATTATTTTATGAAGCTCAATTTAGATGGGAGCAAATAACTAACTTGATCGCATGACCAGAAAAGAGAGGACTTTGTTCTACCTATATATACACCAAATCCTTTTTTTATTCTCTTCCTTGTAAAACTCATGCGTTGGCAATTGTTGGTTTTATTTTTTAGGTACAAGAACTATGGGTGTTATTAGCAAGATAGATGAAGCAGCTTCAGATATCCCATGGGTTGCTTTGATTGGCCAATCTGTCTCCATATCATTTGCTCAATCAGGGATTGTTGGAGCTGATAACTCTTTGGAAACTGCATGGCGAACATAGAGTGAAAGTCTGAAATCTATACTAACAGGAGCCCCTCATAGCAAGCTTGGGAGATTAGCCTTGGTGTACACCCTTGCTCAACAGATCCGAAACCGTATGAAAGTCAGGCTTCCGAATCTCTTTTCAGGGTATGCTTCTCATCAATCTGCTTGTCTTTTGGCTCCTTACATGCTCATCCATCGCAAATAGATTTTTTTCCTCTTATGCCACTTACTAGAGTGTTGCTCTTGGCCATCCCTTTTCCTTTCAAGTATAATTTGTATTGCATCTTTTGGCAAATTGATTTGCCCTCTGATCCCCATTAGCATCTATGACTCTGGTCCATATTACTATATAGGGAAACAAGGTTACAAATTCTATGGTGATAGTTATCTTATTGAACTATTTTATCTTCCACTCCATGTCTGCGTTTTGTACCTTAATTGACACTTCATTCGTGCATTTTGCAATAGCTATCGGAAAATTCCCACCTTTCTTTGCCACTACCGATTTTGTGAATATTTCTTTTTCCCCTTTTGATAGAAAATCAATCCCATTGGTTAAGGGTGCAAGTGCAGCTTCATTTTGGTCAGCTGGGTAGTTTTTTGGTTTAGAATTCTAACTTGGTTGTTGTATTCAAAATTGGAAGTCAACTGTGACCTACTCTGAATTGCAGTTGTTCAAAGTTTTCTATTATAATGACCTACTTTCTATTTTTGATATTTCTTAAATGTCAAACATTTTTCATTGTATCCATAACCAGTTATTTTCCTGTGACATGGGTCGACATTTATTTGAAAAGGTTTTCTTTCTAAGATGTTGATCCTGGTTTTGGGATAAACCTGAATGGCTTTTTGATGGGCAATTCTCTCCATTCTAGGAGAACTTTCACAAAATAGCTCTGAAATTTCATTCTACATAATATTGAGGAGTAGCATACCACAGTTGTCCCTTAACTATTAATGCCCTCATTAGTTAATTTAATATGCTTTTTGATAAACTGTGATGCACATGATATCGTAATTTCTAACTCTCCAATTTTGTTTAACGGGAGTTTAATTTTGTTTTTGAACCGTAATTTCTACTCTTCAATTTCTCTGAAAAATTGGCAAGACTAGGTTTTTAATCATAACTCGTGCTAAATGATAGATTATAATTGGTATTCAATACATTAACTTAATGGTGAACTTGTAATTCCACTCCATTGTATGTCGTTATTCAACATAAAAATCTATTGAAACTATTGTTTGATATGCCTAATAAATTTCCAAATTTCCACATTCTTAATTACAGGTACAGCTTATTTTGTTTGGTGAGGAGACTCGGGAAGAGAACAAGGCTGCTGAAAAACGTGTTGTAGCCGTGAAAGCATCTGGAAATAAGATAGTAGTTTGTGTGTTCCGTTTATGATCGAGTTTTTCCCTTACCATTTTATTTCATTTTGAACCTTTTTTTTATTTAAGTGGTGTTGTATCTTATTCTAATGTTCAAGTGTATGGATTAAAAAATTTGTAATGAAATTATAAATTTTTATGTAATTCCAAAATTTGTTCATAAGTTGCATTTTCGGCAAACGTTGTCGTAGGCTGTCTTTCACAACATTTACCAAACGTTGACGAAAACTTCCGGTAACGTTCAAAAAATGTTGTCGTAGCTCTTTACTCTACGACAACACTTTGATTTGCAACACATGTCCAAATGTTATCGTATGTTGTTTTTGTTGTAGTGGGTGCCACGTCACTAATTTCGTTAAAGGTTTGAACGGATGTTATGCTAGTGAGTAATGTCCAATGTTTGGATAAGTGTAATGACCAAGATTCGACATCTTAAATTTCAGTGAGTAATCAACGACACGGGCATAAGTTCAGTGACCACTAGGACAATTAACTCATATTATTCTTAAAATAATCACTATTCCAAAATACATTTCTTTCCAAAAATGGGGCTTAATCAAGGGCTTTGTTATTAAGTCCATTTTTTATATTTGGTAGAGATTCTTTAAAATTTATTTGTAATTGTATATTCCTTCAATAAAATAATTTACACTTGGATTAATAATTTTTCCTTACTTTTTAATCATAAATTCATCAAAAGATTACTTTTAAAAAATCTACATCAGACATATTTTAAATTATGTTAATTTTATCTTAGATTCAAGTCCTTAACAATGGCAGTCAAGGTAATTCAAAGAAGTAAAGTGCTCGACATGTGATTGAAAATGAATTTATGGAAAAATAAGTTTTAAGAAATTGGAGTCAAACATGAACTAAGAGTATGGATAAGCAAATATAGCCACGGATGCCAAGCTTGAGGAAAGGATGTTGGTGATGTTCTAAAATGTGGTCGTGACATTAATAACTTATGCAACACTCAATTACGTTCGAAATTTTTTGTGTTGCTCCGTATTTGATTGGATTTCTGGGTCATGATATCATGTGGGAGTATTTTTAATCGGAATTGTAAAAATTATACAGTGTTTGGTGCTTAAAATTGAACGTCATACATACTTCAATATGTAAAAAGAGAAATTTGTACCCATTGATGTAGGAAAAAAAAGACTAGTTTTTTCTACCAAGCTATCACATTTGACCTAGTGAAATACCCTTTTTACCGTTACTCTACTGGAAATAACATTTTTATCGACCAATTTATTCAAAAATCGACAAAAATGTCCTTTCGGAAATTTATAATATTGGTTAAATATAAATGTGCTTTATACTTATAATACAATTTATGCAAACATGCTTAATTTTATTAATAAGAAGCTTATAAGCCCATCCAAACATGCTCGATTTTTTTGCACTACACGGTTTGAGTTCTAGCTAAAACGACATCTATGAAAACATAGAATAGTAGTACATCTCATGCAAACTTCGTCACCCTATCTCTTGCAAAATTTTAGCATGTTTCCGAATATAATACTAACATTTAAAATCTAATAACAAGTTAAGCAATTGTTTGGTAAAAATTCTTTTTTTTTTTTTTTAACTCGTTTTCTATCATACATTCTTCCAATAAATTTAATTTCTTGTATATAGATTATTTACTAATTCTTAATTTGTAAGGAGTCTTTCATTAATGATTATGAATGACTGATTTTTTTCAATCTTTTTCAATTTTAATTCTGCAAGACGAAAGTCACATGGATCGAGATATAGAACCAAGTGGCTTAATTCGTTCTCAATAACCAAAACTAACATGAAAAGAAAGAGAGATATGGCTCCATGCGCGTGAATCAACCTCCCTCCAATCAGAACCATTTTGTACATTGAACATGCAATATGATTCTCGTAACTTCTCTATTATTTCTATCATTCAAAATCTTCTCAACTGGGAGCTGTCTTCCCGTTCCTCTACTTGAATTCAGAAACTAGGGAAATTAGGGAAACGAAAAAAAATAAATTGGAATAATAACATGAAGGAAGATGGACGAGAGAGAAATCGTCGGAATGCAAGAAGTGAGTTTGAAAAGGAGAGGACAAAGATAAGAGAGAGGAAGAGGAGGTCCATCACATCCAAGATCTTCCATGGCCTCCGGGAGCACGGTGGCTACCGCCTCTCTCCTCGTGCCGATATCAACCAAGTCCTCCGCCACCTTGCCCAAGAAGCCGGATGGGTCGTTGAGCCCGATGGCACAACCTACCGCTCCACCTCTATCACCACCGCCACATCTAGTGTATGTATACATATGTATTAATCTAATTCTACATGCTAACGGTAAAATCCTCATCATTTAAGTATAAAAACACTGATCAACGTATAAGAGGTTTCGCTGTTCTTTTTAACAAGATTGACCTGTATACGTGTTCATATGTTATTATTCTTTATAGTGCATCAGCGTATGTCAGCTTTGTGGTGGAGGAAGAAACAGAGCTACACCAACAGGCAGCTCTATGGGAGCCAACGCTGCCATTGGCAGCGGAGAATGCTCAACAATAGGAGACCCCACCGCGGTCCATCACTCATCCCCTAACCTACCGTTCTACTGTGGATGTGGCCCAAGCTCTAGTAGTACTACACTTGCTGTTCGTTCTTCGTGCTCATCTCATCATGATGCCATGCCCCAGATGCCCTCCATCACCACCTCCATCGTTTTTCAGAAAGGACAGTTGTACTCACTGCCGGTGGCCCAGGAATCAAATCAGAACTCGCCAATGGAATCAGCTCAGTATCGTACTTGAAGGGTTCCTAACCCAAGGCAACTTCTACAAAAATATTATCATGCCTTCCTGTTAGATGTTTTATTAGCATGGCACATTATTTTAGAGAAAGAAGGGGTAGAATATACCTGAAAATTCGGAAACTAGCCAATCCAACTGGATTATACAATTTTACTAGTAAAATCTATACAAAATATTCATCGATCTCTTCTATTTGATTAGGAAACTTTCCTTTTTATTATTATTTTATCGAGAAAACCAAGTTCAGCGTAGTAATTATTTTAACTTACAAGTAAACTTTTAGCTGGAGAAAATTACTGCAAGAGGGATATTTTTGAGTGACTATTTGGTTGCAATCTTCGTCAAAGCAAAAATTTGCACTTTCTTTCCACTAATGCAACTGTTCAGAAAGGAGACTTTTACCAAATGTTATTTGCAACTTCTATGTAACATTCTGAAAAGTGCCTATACATTCACTAACATGAACAAGCAAACTGACATGCATCTTCAACTTCAGACAAATGCTCAAAAGAAGCCAGGGATTTCTCCTGGAAGAGGAGCCAACTCATTATTACCAAACCTTTCCTCATCGTAAAAACAAGCACGAACAGTCCGACCCCCAAAGAAGCGACCTTCAAGTTCAATAAGGGCTTTAGTTGCGTGTTCTGATCTTTCAAACTGAACAAAGATTCTTACGGCTTCATCATGTGGGAAACCTGGTTCTGTAATCTCAAATATTAGGACGCGAGTCACCGCCCCAAATTTAGAACACTCCTCTGCTACCTCACCTTCTAAATCATCATCTACTTCACCTGGGCCAACCTTCACAAAGAAATCGCATTTAGTCATTTCCTTGTATTTGAAAATTAGGCAAAATATACACTCCCAAGTGATATGCAAAAGACAACACCACAAAACATTATCATCAATTACAGCCATAAACCAGAGCCATTGCAGCAAGATCAGTGATCAAAATACGACGACAAAATCAAAATTATATGGACGTCCATATACACAAAATGCACCTTCATATTGGGTTTC